ACATCTCCCAACGCTGCTGCACGGGGTACAATCACTACGACATCAATAACCTCTCCTGAGTCCGTGCTCACTCTCTAGCTGCACAAGTCCATTCACCCCTCGTGGACATCAATTAAATGTGCGGCAACATCCTTCCTATTCAAAGTTATGTTGTATCCTTCTTTATTTCAAGCAGCTCCTTTCCGTTATATCAAATCTCCTGCCGCATAATAGCCCATACTTCAAATTAAATCCGTAGACCCCAATCACCAATTGCTAAAATTCTCAAATCATTTCAAAATCTCCTTGAGGTGCGTAGTCATCCTACCACAAAGCCCATATGCAACTCCGCCACTCTCCCACTTTGGCGGAACTCACCCCTTTAATCGACTACTCGACCTTTGCTTCTTATACTTGACCTTCTAGAAAATTTAACCACCGCCTAACACTCCCCACATGTCCTTCCCCATCCTTTGCTGCTTAGTTGTTGCCTTAAATAAAATCCACCTTTGTAGAACTTGAACCCACAAATCGCTACTAACTTTAAACTTTTCCGAAGATCATCGATCTCAAGCCATCAACATTTGGAACACCGATTCAATCCTGATCCACCCCACCCCGCGATATCTAACAATCGCTTCTCTAATATTATTTTGCAATATCTTACCCCAAATGTGAACCGCAAAAGACCATAACACCGGCGAATCTAACACGCTCAATCGAGGACGACGATACCACGTCGCAGATGAAAATTCCACCATACTTGAAAACACCAAGTCTCGTTACTCCATCGATCCAAATCTGGACATTCATGGGCCAATTGCTTTTCCCCGCCGGAAATGAAATATCGAATCTCAGAATCATGCACTGAGAGAATTCCCTTCCAAATCTTTCACTGCCCTAACATATAGGCAAGTATCCTATTATCATATCAATACTGTGTGATAACCATTCATGAGCAATCATAGAAACCTGTGCATAGTCTCAAAGCTCTCAGGAATACTGTTACTGAGCTGAAATGATAAGATATCCTTCTGCAAGGCAACGACAATAGCCCAATCAACTATGCAGGGGGAAACAACCCGCACTACCTCTGTAGTACCTTTAAAATTTCTCAATTCCTAATTTATAATAAGCGCTCCACGTCGCATAAGATTGAATATGAAGGAAATAAAGGCATAAGCCTCAAAGGAATCAAATCGCACGATGAGGAAATCAAGAAGGGAAGTGCTCATAACAGCCCTGTAGCCTCCCGAAGATAAGTACAGACATCTCCGTACCGATTGGCGAGACTCTACTAGACTTGCTCATGACTCGTAAGACCTAAGGGAACCTAGTGCTCTGATACCATATTGTCACGACCTAAAATCCACTAAGCGTCGTGATGGCGTCGGACACCGCTGTCAAGCAAGCCAACCATACATGCCTAATTTAATTCTTATCTTAATAATTTTGAAAACTGATATTTTCCTTCAATTCAGATAGTAAAAGATAATCTTTAAACGAAAATAAATAAAAGAATATTTAGAAGTAAATACAGAATACCATAATCATCCCAGAACCCGGTGTCACAAGTGCATGAGCAATTTCTAAGAAATAATGTAATACAACAACCGTCCGAAATACAATATTGGACAGAAAGTAAATACAGTAATCTGAAAGAGACTCTGCTGGCTGCGGGTCATCTCGGAAAGTGCAGCTCACCTAAGTCTCCGTATCAACCATGCTGCTACGCCCACTAGGCCACTAGAGACGCATGTGCTTGTGCAACAAAAATGCACAGCAAGTGTAGTATGAGTATGAAAACAACGTGTACCCAGCGAGTATCCCATCTAATCTCGAAGAAATAGAGACGAGAGGTCAACTTCGACACTTACTAGTGGTCCAATGATAATATAGTAAAAATGTGAGGAGATCATGGATTTTATAAAAATAAATGATTATAATTCATAAAGCCAGATAGCAGGTAAACAGCTTCCCAAATAGTAATGGATTTCCAAAGATTTACTTTTCATTATCTTTATCAATTTATCTCCGGCCAGGAAAGGCAAATATCAACATTTATAAATCTCAAAATGCGCATATCCTGCCGAGGTCGTACGGCCCGATCCAACATAAATGTAAAATGTGCACTGCCGAGGGTCGAACGGCGCGAACCATAGATGCATCTATTACCCCGCTCGCGAATCATACGTGTGACGTGATCAAATTTAAATAAACAATCACCCTGCTCGCGAATCGTACATGCGACGCAGGTACACATAGAAATACATGCTCAACCAACCAATTAAGAATTTATTGAGGAATATTTATCTAAATGAAATCCAATTCTCTTTTAACGATTTAAGAAAATGAAGTTTAATCCTTTTAGAAATTTATTTACCAATTAGATAGGATTTAAGCAATTCAAATGTCAATAAGATTACAGATATTCCAAGTATAACATGCTTTTGGGTCCTAGACTACCCGAACTTACACATATTAGTAGCTATGTACGGACTCTCGTCACCTCGTGCGTATGTAGGCCCCACAAATAGGAGATACATAACAAATTACTTCACCTATGGGGACAATTCCCTCTTACAAGGTTAGAAAGGAGACTCACCTCGCTCCGAAGATCAGAACCGGCATTCCACACCCTTCCGAAGGCTCGAATCGATGCACAATGCTCCAAAACTAGCCAATAATTATGCAAATCCATTAATATATGTTCAATTACTCATTACAATCCAATTTACAACAATTCCTAACCCCGATCGAAAAGTTGACAAAATTGCCCTCGGGCCCACGTGCCCGGATTCCGAAATTTTTCGAAGATTAAGATTACCCATAGCCTCACGAACTCAAATGTATAATTTACTCTCAATTTCATACCCAAATCATGGTCAAAATCCAAAATATCCATTTTCTAGGTTTTCCCTCAACCCCAAGTTTCTACCAATTTTCATGCTCAAATCCGAAACAAAACCATGTATTTAACGTCTAATGAGTGGGAACAACTTACCTTGACATAGATGAAGAAAATCTCTCTTCCAAAAGCTCCAAAATCGTCCAACCCGAAGTGAAAATGGGTGGAAATGAACTTAAAGAGAGTTCACTGCCTCCAGTCCTTTCGCACCTGCGATCTCTTGAACGCTTCTGCGGTCCCGCAGGTGCGGACCAATTGCCACTTCTGCGGTCCAGGGCTCCCAGCCCACTCCGCTTCTACGTCCTCTCCTCCGCAGATGCGTTCCCGCATCTGCGACAAAACGACCGCATCTGTGGTCCCAGCCTAGCCGTCCATTTCCGCTTCTGCGGTACGAAGGCCGCTTCTGCGACTCCGCACCTGCGGCCCTAGTCTCGCAGGTGCGGTTACACCAGCAACCAGCAACTTCAGCCCTTTCCAAAATTCCATTTTCGATCCGTTAACCACCCAGAATCCACCCGAGGCCCCCGGGACCTCGACCAATCATACCAACCAGTCCCAAAACACATTACGGACTTACTCGAGGCCTCAAATCATATCCAACAACGCTAAAAATCATGAATCGACCTCCAATCCAAGCTTAATGAACTTTAGAATTTCAAACTTCTTCATTCGATGCCGAAACCTATCAAATCACGTCCGATTGACCTCAAATTTTGCACACAAGTCATATTCAACATTGCGGACCTACTCCAACTTTCGGAATCGGAATCCGACCCCGATATGAAAAAGTCCACTTCCGGTCAAACTCCTCAAAAACCTTCAAATTTCTATCTTTAGCCAAATGACTCCAAAATGACCTACGAACGTCTGAATTCACTTCCGATCGCGCTCCCAATACCAGAATCACCACACGGAGCTATTCCCGGACTCCGAATCACAAACGGACATTGATAACACTGAAATGCACTTCAACCCAATCTTATGAGATTCTTCCAAAATGCTAACTTCCACAATAGGCGCCGAAACGTTTCCGGGTCTTCCAAAACCCAATCCGGACATATGCCAAGTCCGAAATCATCATACGAACCTGTTGAAACTTTCGAATCCCGATTCCGAGGTCGTTTACTCAAAAATCCAACCTTAGTCCATTCTTTCAACTTTAAGCTTCCGAAATGAGAATTCTCTCTCCAGATCGACTCCGAACTTCCCGGAATTCAATTCCGACCGTGCGCACAAGTCATAATACCTGAAATGAAGCTTCTCTTGGCCTCAAACTGCTAAACGACGCGCTAGAGCTCAAAACGACCGGTCGGATCGTTACATTAGCTTTATATGAACTAATATAAATTAAGATTTTAAAGGGTTGTAAGATTTTCTTACTTAGCTTAAAATGTTATAAATGTTTTTAGAGTTTAATACTAATTTTTTCTTCTATATTTGTAAAAATTTATGATCCATAAATTAATTAAATTTTTTTCCCTTCTCCGAATAGAACTCAAAATTCACACATTCCGGAATTGCCGCACTGAAGGAAAAATTAAGCATATAGACTTTTCCTTTTTTCAAATACAACACATCGTGAGGAAGAATGTTGTATTGACTTTACAATATGCTACGTAAATCTCCTATTCTCCCACAATTATATTATTTTTTGTTATTAGGAATAATAATTCTTTTTAAAAGAAAATTATGGACATGCCTTTTTAATCAAAGTAGAATTAACTTTGTAGGGTTGGTGTATATGTAGTTTAAGTCGAAAAAGAATTCCATCATTAGGTAATTAACAATTAGATCCTTAAATTATACAAATATTTAAGGTTATAAAAGTCAATTAATGTTTCGGGAATATTTTAGTCGTTCAACATTTAACATAAATTATTCGTGATTTTATAATAATATATTTATCTAAAATAAGACTCCTAATAGACCTCATATTTTCATATTGTGCTCCATGATTAACTTAACTACATTAGGTGTAAACACTCGGGTTTACCATAAGTTATAATATAGACGGTAAAAAATCCTTTGCAAAAATAGAAGGACGAAACAAATGGCCTAAAAACACGACCCGATTTAGAGCGGGTTGACCCATCGCTCTTTATAATATATGACGCAAATTATCCCTAATCGTTAGGGCAAGAGATTTCAGATATTTTCTCTTTACTATCCAGCGAAGATGTACAACGGAATCGGGCTACAAACGCCGCGAGGCTCCGGCACCAACGGCTACATCCAGACAAACAAGTTCTTCGTCAAGCCAAAGACGAACAAAGTCCTCGTAGACGGCGGCAAAGGTTTTGAGTCCGGCCAAGGAACTGCCGGAGTGACGAGGAAAGCGAACAAGGACATTCTCGAACACGACCGGAAACGGCAGATTCAGCTCAAACTTCTAGTCCTTGAAGATAAGCTTACCGATCAGGGATACACCGATGCTGAGATTAAGGAAAAGCTCGATGAAGCTCGACGTAATCTGGAGGCAACATCTGAAGATTCTGGTGGATCCACTGCTATTGGCTATGAAAGGTAACTTATATTTTGATTTATAGTTATGCTTTTTGCATAATATACGCATTGGATCAATTATCGTTGAAGAATTAGTTACGGATTTATAGTTTTGACTGAGTTGATGTTGTTAGTAGTCGTTTCTTAGAGAATTTTCCATGCAATATCTTTGGAACTAGCAGAATTATTAGGAAATGGAAATATGAGAAATTTTATTGTTTCTCTCCATTAGAAGTGAAAGAAACAAAAGAAATTGGAAAGGGGAAAGAAGTTGGTTATTACAACTTTGTAATGCTTCTTTCTGAGTTCATATTGTTGTTTCTTTTTAAAACGACGGTGGTGTCCCGGTCATCTTATGTGCACCTTGACTATTCCACCAGGTACTTGCTATCTCAGCTCACCAACACTTAGGCTGATGGGAAAAACTCACCTAGGATTGTTTGACTCCTGAGATTTGAACTTGAAACCTCATGGTTTCCTCCCACCTTATCGACCAATGGGCTTACCCTGGGGTGTTGAGTTCACATTGTTTTGTTATTGACCTTTAAGAATATGTTATGGATTATGGTACAATTTTGAGAAGTTACTGATCTATATGAATTAGTAGACTTTTTAAGGAGATAAAAATTGGAAATGAGTTTTGTTTTCCTTTTGTCTAAATGAGAGGTCTAGATGAGGAGGTTTTAGATACATATAAATATGATTAGGTTTTGGTTTGAGTCTTGCGTCCTCTGACATTCTCACTTCTTGAGCACCTTCAAAAATCTTAAATTAAATTTAGCTTGAGGTTCATTGGTGAATTTGTTTTGTGGTTCTACACTTCTATCTTTCTGGTTGAAAAGGTAGAAAAGGGCAATCGTGTATAAGTTGTTCTGATGGGCAGTTTTATCACAACTATAGTTAGTACAGTTTTTAACTTGTATTACTGTTGTCAGTCTGATTGTTATAACCTGATCAGCAATTTGCAGTTTCAGCAGTTCTGAAGCTCAAGAATTGGTTTTGTGGGATATAACTGTTATTTAGCCCTCTAGTGATGTGTTTATGTCAAAATGGCTTTACCAATATCTTTTGACCTCCAAAAATTGATAGGAAATGTGGCTTGTTATAGAACAAAGCAAGGTTTTTGAGGTTATAAAGCAGGTTTCACTTTTCAGTATCCCAAAAGCTACTGGGGCTGTTAGAGGTCCAAGTTTTGTTGACTTCTCCTTTCCCGCTTAGTATAAATGTTTTGCTAACGGGCCAATATATAGTTTGGAAGATTCTTTTTCAAATAAATAAATAACATGTATACACACAGACACACATTGCATGGCTGATATGCAACAGCTAGTTTGTTCATTTTCAGGGTTTCGGAAACACAGACACACCAGATTGCTGCTTTGAAGGAAAGGCAGATGGAAACCTTAAAAGCTGCTCTCAAGATAGGGGCTGAACACGAGACCCAGAAGAAGCGGCATGAGGCTTTAGATTTAGATTCTGAAGAGAATGAAGATGGTGATAATAATGAGCTTGTTGATAGGAAGTGGCAGGGGAAGGACTTGAGAAAAGAGAAGGATGAGGGTAAGCGTCATAAGAAAACAGAGAAGAAGAAAAAACGTGAGGATTCTTCTGACACTGACAGTGGTGACAGCCATGCCGAAAAGCCTAAGAAGAAGAACCATAAAAAGGCCCACTATTCTAGTTCTGATTCTGATACTGCTGTTGGTAATAAGTCAAAAAAGTTGTCTGCCAGGGAAAAAAAGGGTAGAAGGCGGCATCACAGTGACGATTCACTCTCTGATTCTTCCTCAGATTCTGATTCTTATCCAGAGTCTGATAAGGAGAAGAAACATGCAAAATCCCGTAGGAGACATTCTGAGGGTGAGCATAATGATGGCCGTGATGCAAAAGCCATTAAGTTTCAGCAAGGTAGAAGACACGATTCTGATGAGGATGACTACAAAAATGATCGTGATGTCGATAACAAGATGATTCAGAAGGAGAGAAGGCAGGTTACTGAGAGTAAGTATAATGATGGTCGTGATGCTAAAAACAAGAAGTCACAAAGAGGTAGAAGACAAGATTCTGATGATGACGATGATGGTAGTGATCGTGATGTAAAAAGCAAGAAGATTCAGCAAGGGAGGAGACATGTTACTGCAGGTGAGTATGATGGTGGTCGTGATTCTAAAAACAAGAAGTCTCAAAGAGGTAGAAGATACGATTCTGATGATGATGATTATGATGATGATAGTAATGATCGTGATGTAAAGAGCAAGAAGATTCAGGAAGGAAGGAGACATGTTACTGAGGGCGAGCATGATGATGGTTGTGATGCTAAAAACAAGAAGTCTCAAAGAAGTAGAAGACACGATTCTGATGATAATGATGATAGTACTGATCGTGATGTAAAAAACAAGAAGATTCAGAAAGGGAGAAGGTACGAGTCTGATGACAGCGAGTATGATGAAGGCTATGATGCCAAGAAAAATAAGACTAAAAAAAGTGAACGATGCAATTCTGACAAGGACGAAGGTGAAATCAGCAGTAGCGACTATTCTCGCAGCACCAGTGGTTCAGATATCGAGAAGAGTTATCGTGGACATAAGAGTGTAGATAGGACCAAATCTGAGACGATCAATAGAAGTGGTCGTGGAGATGATTCTGGTGGTAGGTGGGAGAGTTCGATTGTGAAAGATAGGGCATTTCAGGAGGATGATTTGAGAAAAAGGGAAGTTGCACAAGCTTCTGATAAAGGATTGGACACGTTCAAGAAATTGGAGAAGTTATATCAATCGAGGGAAGATGTGATTGGTGGATCAAGTGCTAGTCAAGAGTTGTTGAGGGGTAAGAGAAAACTAGATGACGAAAACTTGGATGAACCCGAGGGGAAGTCAAGGAAGATAGATTCTAGAAAAGACGAAGAGCATGGAAGGCCTAATAGTGAAGCTGAGAAGCAAAGTAGGTCATACAGGAGTATTAAGGACAGAAGTAAAGATCAACAAGCAAGAACTGCGGGAGAATATGAAGGTGATGGCGGAGAGCGTGACACGAAAATTCAGAGTCGGAATGAACTGCACCGTGAAAGTCGACGTGAGAATCGAGATTATGAAGTGGCTGGACGGGAGAGAAGAGAAAGTAGGGATGATGATCGCTGGGAAATGAAGCAAAAAAGAGATGAAGAGGAAGATCGGTACAGGAAGCATGAACAAGAAGAGGAGGAGCATAGAAGCAGAACACGTGATAGTTATAGAGGTCATGACTCTCACAAGAGGGCTAGACATGATGATTTACATTCTGGTGGAAAGAGAAGATATGATGACAAATATGCAGACAAGCGGACTAGGCGGTGAAAGCTGCTTTAGATTGTGACATGCTAGGATAGCAAGAGGTGAGTTGAAACTTCGAGATACACTTACCTTTTTCTTTACTATTATTATATGCCAATCACAGGGAGATATCCCTTTTTAAAAATGAATTTAATAGAGAAACTCATAGTTAGAGTATGGTTTCTTTTATGAATAAGGTACTGCAGTACTGCTTAATTTCCTTTCAAGTCTTTCTATTGACAAAAATATACCCCATTAAACTTTGTACTATTTGGATATGGATGATGTAATGTTGGAAGTGAAGACATAAGTGTTAATGAAAAAGGTAGAGATGATAACAGTAGAACTTTACAGATTTAATTCCACAAACAGATCCAGTATAATGGGATAAATTGCTTTCTGTTTACATCTGTTATCTGGGTTTATTATATATCTAAGGTTTATCCCTCTTTGGGTTTTCCTCCACTAAATTTTAATTAGGTGTCCATGCTTTTCATGGAAAGTGGAGCTTTGATTGCACTAAGCTGCCATTGCCATTTGACTGTACAATTCTTCTGTTTCAAATTCACAATGTAAACCCGGGAAAGAAAGCTGCTTAAAATGTGATTGAGAAGGAAGGTCAATTTTTCCTCTTAATTTGATGAGTGTTTTGCTGCTATTTAGGGGTGTTCCTTATCGAGAGTTAGCTCTCTATAGGGGAATATAACTGCTGGTCAAGGGAAAATTCACAAGGCATTGAGATGTAGAGAACCTGGTTTTAAAGCTGGCATGTATACATGGAAATCACTTAATCAAAACCAAAAAGCTGGCATGTATACATAAATTTGAACAATGGACTCCTTTGTTGTTATCTAACATAAAAAAGGGTAAAGAGGCTCTTGTTTGTTTGGGCCCAGATTCCCTGCATTGACATTACAGTTGCTCGATATATCCCCCTCTCATACTCATGGACTCCAATTCCCTTCAGTTTGACGCAATACATATGGAAATTAAAAATTTGTCATTACCGCTCTGAACATGCTCTTTCCATACACTATGCTTCAGAGAAAAGTTGTAAAAGTGTGCCGTAGTGATACCCTTTAAAAGAATTACATAATGTGATTAGCTAACATTCTCACAATCTATCTTTTTGTCAGTTTCAGCAGCTCAGTGGAGGAAGATCGCGGATGCCGAGCATAAAGAGGCAAAGCTTGGTTAGCTGTTTGGTATCAGAAGTGGAGATGTGAGCTTTCTGCTATATGTGGGGGTTGGTCCTTGAAACACTTTTCAGTGTACCTAAACAGGATTGTTGAATCGCTATCTTTACTGTTGACCGTCAAAATTGGTGTGCAAGAGTTAGCTGTAATAAGTAACGATCCCTCTTCTGTTACCATTCTTTACTGTTGACCGTCAAAATTGGTGTGCAAGAGTTAGATGTAATAAGTAATGATTCTTCTTCTGTTACCATTCTTTCAACTCTTTTATGATTTCCTATTTGGGAGTGTGCTATAGTGGCTTCCTTGTGAAGTAAGGTTCATAGGCTCAATTATAATATGCATCTTCTGGTGAATTTTGAGCACGACGCCTTCCCAAGCATGTCACTTCGAATGCTGTTTTGACACACCTTAAAGCTCCGGCTTTTTCCGGGATGAAAATGGCCAATACATTCTGCTAAAGCCATCGAGGAATGCAAGATGTGGATACGTGCAGGTCTAGCAGTAGCTCCAATATGTGCATTAGCTCTTCCATTTTTCCCGACGAGTAATTGTGAAGATATTATTGATGTGCGCTCCTTTATTAATTAGGGTGATTCTTTGCCATCGGTTTAGCTCAATTCACCCTATAGCTGAATGAATATGTGCCCCGTAGCTGAATGTATTCGCTTCTTGGATTTGCTATACTGCATCCTTGCTGCATTCAAATCATTCTGCCTGCAGCCAGAAGACATGAAGTCTGTCATCGAACATGAGGCCTATTTTTGTTAGCACTGGCTATGTTAGAAAAATACGAGGAGAGGAGACATGCATCAACCATAAAACCTGTTTATAAAATGGAACACTTGTTTGCGTGGACGATAACAGCTTGTTTGGATTGTTGTTTAGCCATTGTTTCATAATGTTTCGTTTAATATTGTATTATATAATTTGTACTGTATCACTTTGTGAAACGAAAGGCCACAACGTTCAGTTCAGATTTGACTGAATGCAGTATAAAAGTAAATTCCTCAAAAAGGCTTCTCAGGAAGATATTTAGCATGACAGAACTATATTGCCAACATTGAGTCAGCAGAAGCCTTTGAAAAACAGCCTTGAAGTTCGAGGACCTTTAGACTTTAGTACTCTAATCTTACGCCGAACGAGCAACCTTAGCGTTGAACATGTGTTACCTTTGTTCCTTGATCTTAGGGGTGGCAAAACTAATCCAAACCAATTTGACTTGTAAAATTCGCCCAAGTTTTAATGGGTTTGCGCTAGATGATTTTGAAGGAGAAATTTTCATAAAGCACTATCTTTTAGTAGTAATTAGCCATCTATAGATACTATTTGCTATATTACGGATTATAGATACCTTTTCTGTGGTTATAAGATGTATTTGATTTATTTAAGCTATTGTATTCATGAATACAGTAGTAAAAATAGGCGTGAATCAGGGAAGTCCAGCTAATCAGTTGTTGTATTCGAGTGTATTTGACTGTATTCATGGAGTGAAACATGGGATTACAGCTGGACATATTATTGTATTCGACTTTATTCGATTGTATTTACGGCGTGAAATAGGGGATTACACTGTTTTTAAAACGGAAAGTGAATCAATTAACATAATAGACTCCTAATATAACTCAACAAACTCAATTATACACACAAATTTTGTATTTTCAGTTATAAAAAAGATTCTCAACCGAAAAATACCCCAAAAATATAGCAATCTTCAGAGAAATTATATAATACATCTGAATACATAAATTATACTAATTAAGAAAAATATATGAATACATTCATGGCGTATAGCGAGATAGTGAATACAATGAAATACATAGAATATAGCGAGATAGTGAATACAATAAAATACATAGAAACTGTATTTTAACCTTGTTGAAATAATCATCAAACATGAAAAAAAATATCTGAAAATAAAGAAGAAACACATTATCACAACAGAAAAAATAACAAATAAATTTTATATCAATAAAACAAAGGTAGAGAGCTATTTTTTTAGGTATCACAATAAAATAAATTTTATTGCAATGAAAGAAAATATTTTTCTAGAACATGAAAAAAATACTTCCTCTGTTTCAATTTATGTGAACCTGTTTGACTAGGCACGAAGTTTAAGAAAAAATGAATGACTTTTGGAATTTGTGGTCCTAAACAAGTCAATAAGGGGCCCAGAGTATTTGTGTGGTTATAAAAACTTCTCATTAAGGGTAGAATTATAAGTTTAAGCTAAATTGTTACCAAATTTAGAAAGGGGCCATTCTTTTTGGAACGAACCAAAAAGGAAATATGTTTACATAAACTGGAACAGAGGTAGTAATTCTTTTTGTGTAAAAGAAAATACTTTTTCTACGCCAGGAAAAGAAAGTACTCATTTCGTGAAAAAGAAAATACTTTTTCTACATCATGAAAAGAAAATTCTCTTTTTGTTGAAAAAAAATATTTTTTTCTACAACATGAAAAGAAAGTACTCATTTTGTGAAAAAAAAAATACTTTTTCTGCATCATGAAAAGAAAATTTACCCCGAATCTGGAGGAAGAAGAATGAGAATTCTTGGGAGGAAGAGCGTTTTAACGTTTGAGCGTTTGACACTGTCGGATTGCGAATTGGGGAAACGAACAAAAGTACACGAGTCAACTTATTTTTACCCGACCAGACTATTAACCCGCAATGTGCCTTACCTTACTCTGTCCTATTAAAATTTTTCAGAAATAATATTTTGCCCGGCCCTGCCCTGTCCTTCCCTGCCCCGTCCCATTAAAATCTTCCGCTGCCCTACTTCATTTAAAGTTTTCCCATCCCTACCCTGCCCCAATTGCCATCCCTACCATGGACAAACTTTTAAATCATGACTCCATATAGCCAATAAACTGTAACCGACGCGTTTTTAAACAAAGTCGGCATTCATTTCGATGCCCAAGAAAAAAAAAACAGAAGAAGAAGAAACGGAAGAGTTTTAGTCCTTTTTCTTTTAGCTAGAAATGGCAAGATCATCCTGACTGAGGAGAAACGATTTGCTTCAAAGAGGTGATTACTTAAAACAACCAAACAAACTTCCGATTTTAGGCAAATATTTATTGTCATAGATTAGGACTAATAAAATAAAAAGAGGAAGATATAAATGCTTCTTTTTTTGAATTCTCTAGAAGATTGAAGATAGGCTCATATGCATAGTTTGGTAAATACGGTACTATCATATCAAAATCGAAAATCTTATTATTTGGTATCCAATATTTTCGTATTCGGTATGGTACCTGTCACACCTCCTTTTTCACTACACCCGCCAGGGCGTAAAGGAGTTTTTCCAATTAAAGGACAATCGAGACGGGATTTGTTTATTAAGATTCAGAGTCGTCACTTGGGAGATTAATGGTGTCCCAAGTCACGGTTGAATCCCGAATCGAGGAAATTATTGACTCTGTTTAACAGTCCGCGATCCAGAAATCCGAGTAAGGAATTCTGTTAACCCGGGAGAAGGTGTTAGGCATTCCCGGGTTCCGTGGTTCTAGCACGGTCGCTCAACTGACATATTTGGATTATTTATTTGATTTTAGTACATGTTTTGACCTATGTGCTTTTTAACTTTGAACCGCTTTTATTATTATTATTATTTTTAAAGAGTTGCAACGTCGTGAAAACATGTCTCGAACCACGTCACATAAATGCACCCGTGATTTTTAACACATTTCAACTTCGTTGGGATTTGGATTTGGGTCACATAAATGTGCACCCGAGTTTTAGGAAGGTAATATTATTAAATGCCGGGCCTAAAGCAACTAGCGTATTATTAACTTTGCGGGAGGCCATGAAATTCGCTAAACGGCGCGTCCCGAGGACTAAATATTTTTGAAGAAGTAGTTAAAGAGGGCCGCGCAATTTGTGATGTTATTTGGCGTGACGCACCTCATTTATTTTAAAAGAAAGTCCTAAAGATGACTATATTTTCTATTAAAGATTGTCTCTAAAGTCTATTTAACTAACATTACTAGTAAACTGTATTGGGCTTGAAGATTAGCCCAAGAGTGAAGAAAGTCTGCCAGCTGGGGTGGGGGTGGGGGTGGGGGGTTCCGCATTTAACTTCAAATCAGTCCACCAAATATTACCTATAGACTAGTTCAAAAGGGAAATCCTATTGGGCTTTCATCATGCAGCCAAGCCCAAGTTTCACTTACGCAAAAAGCTGTCTGGTTTTACTTCATGAATAAGCCTAAATGCAACGTTAATTTCAATTTAAGCCTGTTAAACACTTTGCTAACGAATAGATAGTTTACCCTAGCATGAAATCTGCTAATTTTCAGCTCAGTTATCATGCACAAATCACGTGGTTTGCATATTGACCAATAATAATCTGGAAATCCAATAATCTACATCTTAAAACATCTATAAGATTAGTATCCAACAACAACAATTACTAGTATTCTCTCTGATTTTTTAACAAAACACGATAACAAATAAAGCTAGAGGAGAGGCCTTCAGTTTCGAGTGCCGTTGAGCTATGAATTCATTAATTGAATCCAAGCTCCTCAACAGCATCCATGCTTCACAATTACTCTAATGTGGAATGTAGAGGCTAGCAACACAGGTTCAAAGTCATCTTACTAACTGTAAGGAATCAACTCATATCAGATTTAAACTACTGAACAGAATGAAACCAATAAGAGCAACTCCAGTTTTAATAGTCCACTCGTTACAATACCAGCAGGTCTAGGTCATTTAAATTTCAAATCCTACTACCGTATAACCTAACATTCAAACTGATGCATACAAGTAAACTAAATACGAAAGTAACATAGGTAATATATCGTTTATTCAATAATTTAAATACATTCGCTGATTCAGCTCTTCACACATCATTTGAGATTGAATAATACCTGGAAATAGAATATAAATGGAGGAGAAGAGGTCAGCTAAGACAATAATGAGCAGCAGCAATCGATAGACGAGTAACAATAGCCCAGAAAACAGAATTAGCCAGTCCAGAAGTAAATCAGTGATTCCAGAAATGTTTGAAATCAAGCAGGACTGATAT